ATTTCCCTCAGTGGTACTTTATGTGTCTCCATGGAGATTACGCATCTCCTGTTAGAGTCACCCATAGGCAGTCATTCTCAGAAGTCATGTCTAGGATGCTGTTGTCAATGGTAAAGTATAAAAGTTTTATCTTCTATCTATTCTTTGGTAGTATACAAAAATACATTTGATTCTTTTTAATACTGATTTAAAAAATATTGACCTTATATTGAAAGACTGTGCTAAATTTACTTACTAATTCACATGCTTGGATCTTGTATTTCACCATTATGATGTCTGTAAACAATGACAATTTCATTTCTTCCCTTCTAATTTTGATTTTGGGAGCTCTGGTAGCATAGTGCCTAAGGCACTTGACTGCTAACCAGAAGGCTGGTGGTACAAACTCAGAAGCCACTCCTTGGAAGGAAGATGACACCATCTACTTCTGTAGTGATACTGCCTTGGAAACCCAAGGAGGGGTCACTATGAGTTGGGTCCGACTCAATGATACATAACAGCAACAACAATCTTGATTTCATTTTTTGTTTTGTTTCTTTCCTTGCACTGTTGCACTGGTCAGAACCTCTAATACCATGTTGAGAAGAAGAGGTGATAGCAGGTACCCTGTTTCGTTCTCAATCTCAGGAGGAAAACTTCTAATAATTCATCTTAAGTATGATGCTTGCTGTAGGAATTTTGTAGAGAGTCTTTTCTGGTGGTGCTCTGGTTAAGTCATTGGGCTGTTAACCAGAAGGTAGGCAGTTTGAACCCACCAGCTGCTCCATGGGAGGAAGATGAAGCAATCCATTTCCATAAAGATTTACAGCCTTGGAAACCTGATGGGAGTTGCTGTGAGTGGGGATTGACTTGATGGCAGTGGGTTTTATCAGATTAGGGACATGTTCTCCTATTCCTAATTCGCTAAGAGTTCTTGTTGCAAATGAGCCGTGGACTTTAACAAACGCTTCTTCTGTGAGTATGAGGATGGTCACAGGACTTACCTCTCCCACACTTAGATTTTAATTTGTATGTTCTTTTGTGGTCTTATCCTAGAGATTTAAAAAATGCTTCATTTATTAACTAAGTATTTTCTACATCACTTTTCCCTTCCCACACAATGTAATAACCTTAGAACAGCTTAACTCTCCCACTATTGTGTGATTTTTGTCACATATTTGACTTCTATGGGTTTGTAAATTCCATAGGACATTATTGTTTAAACATGTCAAGATGCAGTTTTAGTTACTTTTTCTGACGTCTTCAGTTCTTCCTGCAGTTCTGTGTTTCTATCTGAAGTTACCCTCCTTTGGGCTAGAGAATGAACCCCTTTCATTATCCATTTAGTGCGGGTCTTCTGGCCACGCCTTCCTTAAGCTCTTCTCATTTTCTTTGGATAAAACCACTAGTTCATCTTCATTTTTGAAGAACATTTTCACTGAATGTGGAATTATAGTTTGACAATTTATCCTTTCAGCACTTCAACAAAATCCTTCCATCGTCCCTTGACTTTCATAATTTTTGTTGAGAAGGCAGCTGTATTAATGCTGCTTTTTTTTTTTTTTTTTTTTTAAGGTAATGTAACTATTTTTTTCTGGTTGCTTTAAAATTTCTCTTTTCTGAGTTTTCATCAGTTCTTCTGTACTATGTCAAGCTGTGGTTTTCTTATGTATCCAGTTTGCAGCCTGCAGAGCTTTATCTGTGGGTTGATGTCTCACCAGTTTTAGAAATTTTCAGACTAGGTAAGAAGAGGGAGGGGTTCTTGGCCCTGACTGGGTTTTGAATGGGCACTGTTGATTGTCACCCCGGAGGCCGGGGTTTGGAGGAGACTCTGACACTTTGTTCCACAGATATGTATGTCATTCAACCTTTAAAAGGCGGGATTTAATTATTACTTATGTAAACTTACAATGTCAGTTAACAAATAAATGTGACTTCTTTGGCCACAGTGTCACTTCTGTGCCAGGGCCCTCCAGCCAAAGACCAGCAGGCGCTCACCTGGGTTGGAGCTGGTCAGGGCTCACTGCAGCAGGATGAGGCATGGCATGTGGCCTGAGGAGTCTCTGTAGGGATTCCAAGAGGATGTGGTGTTGGCCTTGGGTTTGTTTGGGGTGATTTGGGTTCAGGGCCTTGCTTAGGATTAGATGCCGTCAGGAAGCAGGGTCAGTCTACTCCTGGGCATCATCAGTGTCTCTGGAAGGAGGCTGACTGGAGAAGATTGGAGCTGCAAGGGTAGAGGGGCTGCTGCCACTGTGGTAGGGATGGGGCCGTCTGCTCCTCCTTGTGGTTTCAATGATGATCATGTTTTGCCCAGATATGATTAGGTTGTGGTCTAGTGTGTGTCTTGATTCATCACAGTCACAGGGTAGCCTGTGACCCTGTGAAATTGTTTATATTCCAAACAGAACTCAAAGGCTTATCTGTGAGTGCCAGGTTGTGAGTGTAGGCCAGGCCTCAGGGCCACCAGGCCAGACAGACTATGAGTCTAGCCAGCCTTCAAGGCCACCAGGCCGGGCCGTGAGTGCAGACCAGCCCTCTGTGCCACCAGGCTGGGCTGTGAGTATAGGCCAGCCCTCAGGGCCACCAGGCTGGGCTGTGAGATAGACCAGCCCTCTGTGCCACCAGGCTGGGCTGTGAGTATAGGCTAGCCTCAGGGCCACTAGGCCAGGCTGAGAGCACAGGCCAACCTCAGGGCCACCAGGCTGGGCCGTGGGCACAGGCCAGCCTCCGTGGTGCTGGGGCTGCAGCTCATGTGAAAGCTCCAACTGGTTGCCCACACAGTTGCTCGGGTCTCGTTCTGCTTCATGAGTCAGTGGGACAGCTGTCTACAGACACATCTCCTAGCAGGTCCTGAGAGGCTTGGGCTCTGTGGCAGCAGGACCTCCAGGCCAGCCAGCCAGCCCCTGGCCTTGCTCTGCCCCTCCCCCGCCCCCGCAGACCCACCTCTTGCCAGGCGCTGCCCCACGCCATCACTTAACCAAGTCTCTGTTCCCACCCAGGACTGTCCTTGGCGTTACCCTGTCATGCTCTAATTACAGTGAAAGGCTGAGAGGCCAGAGTCTGAGCGGTGTGTGTGTGTGTGTGTGTGTGTGCATGTGTGTTTGTGTGTGTGGAGGGGTGCTCTCCTTTGCTGAGTGTCCCAGGCCAGACAAGGGCACCTGCTCCGGGTACTAGGTTGGAAGGGGTGGGTGTCGCGCCCCAGTGCTCAGGGATGCTCTGTGCAGGAGGGAGGCGAGTGACAGGCAGTGTGACTCTGGTTAGCTGTGCCAAGATAAGCAGTGGATGTGGGGAGCATGGCTGACCCAGAGTGGGGTCCAGGGTAGTGAGAGACCAGAATGGTGGACAGTGCTGTAGGGCAGACACTGGCTTGTGGCTCAGGCTGGACAGGTCAGGGCGGCACCAGGGCTGAGGGGGCGGGCAGCTGGCAGGGGCCCATGTGCCGGGCTGAAGACATAAACTTTATCCCCACAGCAACCACTGCAGGCTCCAAGTGGGCAGCACATGACCCTGTGTTAGCAGCACACCTGGCAGCTGGGGGAGGTGGTTGCAGTAGGCAGGGGGCCCGGGGGCACCGAAGGGGGAGCTGACGGCCAGTGTGTTGTCACCTCGGGATGAGGATGGCTTGTTTCCTGCCTGAATGCCTGGTGGTGAGACACTGTTTACTAAGCTAAGAGATGTAGGAGATGGGTCTGAGGTGCACGAGGTGGCCTGGGCTGCACTGTCATCTTCACATTGGGTCCTCTGTGGGGGCAGGTTGGCAGGGAGATGGCTGGAACCTGGGAAGAACCCCAGGAGAAAGGCCACAGTGAGCTGTCCAGAGGCAAAGCTGGCTGTCCCAGAGCCCAGGGGGTGGGAACAGGAAAGGCAGGAGGGCTCAGGGCAGCAGGTCCTGGCAGCGGGGCTGAGCTCAGCAGTAGGCCCCTTGGCATGCAGGAGCTGGGGCGGGAGATGTAGAACCAGGTGGGCTGAGTCCCAGAAGGGGGATCAGGTGAGCCCTGCAGGGACAGAGTGAGCTGGGGCCTGACCGGCCACACCTGTCCAGCTCTGACCAGGACTCCAGTTCACAAGTGTCTCGTGGGTAGAGGAGGAGAGTATGGGGGCCCTTTGCATGCACTTAGCCTGGTGGCATGTCCAAGGCACCCAGTCAGATGGACTGCACAGCAGCTGGAAGGCCCCAGGGTCCCCCACGGAGCAGGACAGGCTGGCCGTGGGGAAGGCTGTGCTCTTCCCAGGAGCTGGTACAGGACAGTGAGGCACAGCGCCACAGGCCTCAGGGACTCTGTGGTCAGCACAGGGACATGACACCGTGTAGCCCCTTGGGGAGATGATGGGATAGGAAGCAGGGAGGTGGAAGTGTTTAAAGGATTAGCTGCTTGTGGCCTCCTCCAGGCCACCCAGTCCCCTTGCTAAGTGTGGCTGCAGCTCTGCTTCCGTCATCCCCAGGGGCTGCTGGAGCCCCCCACTCCCCATGTCCCCCTGAAATGGCAACCAGAGACCAGGACAGCAGAGCATATCAGCTTATTGAACTTTAATGATGGCAGAACAGAGGTGTCCTTTTCCCCCCCAAGCATCCCCACCCCCTCGGACCTCAGGACTCAGTGTGGGGATGTGGACCCCACCCCTCCTGCCTGAGAGGGTGGCACTCCAGGGTGGGGCAGGGGAGACTCGGCCAGACTGGGGAGCTGGGACAGAAGGGGGGACGTGCGCCCTCTTCTCTTGGCTCAATTCCTCTCTCCTGGGACCTGGTGTTGCCCCCAGACCCTGTGCAGGGCTGGCAGGAAGGGCTCATGCAACAGTGAGGGGCAGGAGGTGGCACGGACACCCTGCCCGTCACCCTGGTCGGGGGCGGGAGGGCTGCAAGAGGCCATGCATGGCCACACGGCTCCATGTGGAGTGTCTGCGGTGTACATACAGGTCGGAGAGGAAGCCCTCCGCCCCAGGCTGCACCCGGGACAAGAGGGGGGCGGTAGGGGTGGGGTCCTGGCCAGCCCCTGGGGGGCATGGCAAGCGGGCAGCACAGCCTACTCCTTTGCGCGGCCAATGATGGCAAGGATGTACAAGAAAATGTTGATGATGTCCGTGTACAGGTTGAGTGCTGCAAACACGTACTCCTCGGGGCTCAGTGACAGCTGCTTGTTCCCCAGCAGCAGCTGGGTGTCCACTGCCAGGAACTGGGGCGGCAATGCAGCCATGTTGAGAGGCTGCCCGTCGCCTAGCCCCCCGACCCACGCACCCGCTGCCCACCACCCGCACTCACGCAGGTGAAGAGCAGGGCGCCCAGCGAGGCATACACGATCTCCAGGATGCGGTTCCGGATGAAGATGCAGAGGATGGCGAAGATAAGCAGAACCACCACGCTCACCAGCAGCACGCCCATGCACGAGGTGAAGTCATAGCGGGTCTGCGGGGACGTGAGAGGGCCGTGGGCTGGGGCCCGGTTGGGCACAGGCCCCAGCCCCGGGGCTGCGGCCTGCCCCAGGGGGCCTTACCTGCATGGAGAAGATGACGACTGTGAAGCAGACGGTGGTGGTGATGCCCACTGCCATGATGACAGCCTCAGTGTCGTAGAAGCTGGCGATCATACCCACCATGTAGGACAGGCTGACGGTCAGGATCGACTGTGGGAAGACAGGGAGGACCACCGCCCTGGTGGGTGTGCTGACACCCCTGCCCTCACCATGCCACCGTGCCCTGCGGAGGGCAGACAGGATGGGGGAAGGGGAGTGGGGAGACCAGGCTTCAGGGTGCAGGGCTGGAGGGCTGGAAGGCAGAGCCTGGGGGCCAAGGGCCTGGGGTTACCAGTGCAACGAGGTTCCAGGGGTGCTTTCGCCGGAAGTCTCCGCAGCAGCTGAGGACAATGAGGGAGACGAAAAACACGGCATATGACACGTAGTAGGTCCAGACGTTCGCCCGCACGAAGTCCTTCACGCCCCCGACGAATGTGAACACGGCCACAGACGACAAGGTCACCGACAGCTGCAGGGTCAGGACCAGGAACACCTGCAAGGCCAGTGGCTCAGAGCCTGCTGTGTCCCCAGCACCTGCCCACACGCTGCCTCACCCCAGACCCCCTGGCCCACCTTACGGATGAAGGCCTGCCGCACGCTCTTGTCATCCCAGTTGGTGGCAGGGAAGTCCTGGTTGTCATAGTAGGATGGGGGCCCTTCCTCCTGGTAGTTGCCCCGCAGAGGAGCTGAGGGAGGCAGGGGGCGGGGTCACAGCCACAGGCTTCAGCCCAGTCCCTCCCCCTCCCCCCCAGGCCCTACTCACAGCCTGGGTCCGGCACCTCGAAGGCCTGCGGTTGTCCATAGGGGTTGGGGGGAAAGGGACTCTGGGGGTAGGGCCCCTGTGGATATCCCCCTTGGGGATAGGGCCCCTGTGGGTAACCCCCTTGGGGGTAGGGCCCCTGTGGGTACCCCCCTTGAGGGTAGGGGCCTTGGGGGTAGGGAGTAGGGCCCTGGGGATACCCTGGCTGACCATAGGCAGTAGGCTGGAAAGGCGGCTGAGGGTAAGGGCCCCCAGCGTAGGGAGGCTGCCCATAGGGAGGCATGGGGGGCGGGGGTCCCCCAGGATATCCAGGGTTGGGGGGAGGATAGCTGTCCCCAGACACCAAGAAACTCTTTTCGTGGGACATGGCCTCAGGTTTTGTGGCCTCCCCCTAGAAGAGAGAGAGAGAGAACATGTCACCCTGTGATGACCCTGGACCCCGCAGTGGGCAGGCCCCGGCCGCTGGGCGAACCCAGGGGGTGGACTGAAGTCTCGCACCTCTGCCCCTGGGTGTAGGGCACCCTAAGAATGGGGCTGGGAGAAGCAGAGAGGACGAGGCGGAGGGCCTGGGCTTCTGCAAGGGCCGCTCCAGGCCCATCCCAAGCGGGGAAGGGGACAGCGATGGGGCGACGCTATCGGGGGCTGCCGACGTCTCCCAGTCTGGGACGTGCGGGGCGGGGTGTGCCGCCCCGGCTCTCGGCAGCCCTGCCGTAAGCGGCTTTAGGGCCAGCGCGGGCGGCTGCCTCCATCCCAGGAAATCCCCGTGCCATCTGTGACCAAGGGGCCTGACCCCCAGAGGGCAGGCCCTCGGCGGGAAGGGCAGGCCGGGTCGGCTGCGGGCGCCTGCCGCGGGCTGCGCAGAAACGGGGTGCGGGGGTGTGTGGGGGATGGAAGAGACGCGAGGGCGGACGCGAACAAAGC